AGTGAGTAGAGAAGAGGTGATTAGATAATTTGTAATGAAGTAAATAAGCAGCGCAAGTAAGAAAATAAGCAGTAAAAAAAGAACACATCGAAATTTATATTGGTTCGGTCGTTGTGACCTATATCCACTTCTGATTCCTCCTCTGTTGAGATCACCAGCGTCCACTAATGGTCTTCCTTCAATAGGTGAAGACCAACCTATTAGGATCAAGAGCAGCACTAAGAGGGGGGGTGAATTAATGCAGCAAAAAAATTACATCGATTCGAGAAACTTCTTACGATAAAAACCGATTTCAACTCAAATTGTTTGTTTTACTTTGAATGAGTAGAGAAGAAAAGGTTCGATAGTTTATAATCTAGTAAAGTTGAATGCAGTAAAGATAATTTGCAGTAAGAAAATAACATACCGAAATTTATAGTAGTTCAGTCGTTATGACATACATCCACTTCTGATTCCTCCTCCGTCGAGGTCACCGACGTCCACTAATGGTCCTCCTTCAATAAGCGAAGACCAACCACCTCTTTACAGCGCTTTCTCCTTTTCACTAGTTTTGGAGATAACCCTTATAAGCCTCATACCTCTCTTAAATGGTCTCAACTCTTAGAAAGGAAGGAGGAGGACTCTTGCATTTTTACAACATTTTAACACCCCAAGAACTCAAAATTATGTTTACACTTTTATGTCCTTTCATGTAGAAAAAGGTGCGGTATTTATAGACCCCAATGGCTTTAGAATTGGAGTCAAAAAGTATCATATCTCCGGATTTCGGGGTACTTACGGTACCAACATAATTATTGGACGGTACCACCGCCTGACACCTGACACTTGACACTGGGCAGTACCACCGCCCAGTCTGGGTGGTATGACCACCTGATAGAGCTCAGAGACCGAGCTCTGGTGGTACCACCGCTTGACAAGGGCGGTACCACTGTTGGCAATATTAATTACCGGTGATACCACCGCTGGCAGCATTAATTATCGACGGTACCACCGCTGACAACATTATTTGTTGACGGTACCACCGCTGGCAGCATTAATTACTGGTGGTACCACCGCTGACAGCATTAACTGCTGGCGACACCACTCGTCGGTCTAGGCGGTACCACCGTCTAAACCACTTGGGAGACTAAGTCACTAGGTTGTCACAAACTTAGCTGATTTTGCCTAAGTCGTGCGGTACCTTTGCGTATCCGTCCGCAAAGATCAGCCTCCCCGAAGTCTCCCATGGTCCCTTAGGACCTACAAAAGAGAAAACGAATTAGAGAGAACACATCACTCGGGATCCACAAGCAAACATTCCAGTGAACACTTCATAGACAATGCAAATTACAAATAGACTTTACAAGCTCTGAATAGTTACATAATAAAGGGTCGAAATGGTCTACTACAGACTGAAAATCTCTTACAAGTGTCCACATGACACAACCTTTATTTACAAGCCTAAAGCGGCCACCAAACCCAACTAAAATGGGACTATTAAGCCTTCGGTCGTCCCTCTACATGCTGTGCAAAGCATGAACATACCAAAAAACACAGACATACATAAGCATTTCATCAAACATCCTGTTTCGAAGTTTGTCCGTGACAAGGTGGTGCCACCGCCGGCCGTGAATTCAGGTGCTGAATGAGTTGTTTCAATCGGCCCAATTCAGCCCTGTTAAGGGCCCAATTGACCCCTAACTGAATCAGCGGGATTACCTCCCATCTTAACTCAACTTAAGGACTCATTATAAACATTTAACAAAGCATTCTTGTTTCAATACGTCAATTGTTCTTCCGGCGAACTTCCGACGATCTCTTGGTAATGTTCCGACGGACTCCCGATAAGCTCCTGGACTTTACGATGATCTTCTTGGCGAGTTCCGATGAGCTTCTTTGGCATGCTCCTGGACTTCTCGGTTAGTTCCGGCAGAACTTCCGACGAACGTCCGGACTTCCGACGAATGTCCGGACTTCCGACAAACTCTCAAACTCCCGATGAAGTCCCGATCTTGATTCCGGCACAACACCTGCTCTATGTCTTACTGTTATCGTAGTTAATCCTGAACACTTTTCTCAATATATAGATTAGATCAAATAATTTATAATTAATTTAATCATCAAATCCAAGATTCAACACAACCACCTTTTTACAACATTGTTTTCTTTTTACAAGTTTAGGAGATAACCCTTACAAGCCTCACACATCTTTTTGGATGATTATAAAGCTAAAGAGAGAGAGGAGGGGGACTCTTTATACTTTTACAACTCTTTTACACCCCAACACTTAAAAGATTTTTTCATATTATGATTGCACTTTGTTACTCTTTCATGCAGAAAAGGGCAAAGTATTTATAGACCCCAATAGCTTCAAAATTGGAGTCAAAAAGTATATCATCCCGAGTTTTCAGGGTACTAGTGGTACCACCGCCTATGTGGGCGGTACCACCACCTGCAGCATTGACATTGGGCGTTATCATCGTCTAGTCTAGCGGTACTACCACTTGACAGAGCCTCGGAGACTGGGCTTTGGTAGTACCACTACTAATAACTGTCGATAGCACCACCGCACAGACCACTTGGGAGGCTGAGCCTCAAGCGATTCCACCGCCTGATAAGGTTCAGCAACCTATTTGGGCCTTGAATTCGACCCAAACCAGTCCAATTATAGGCCCAATTGGCCCTTAATAGGGTTAATGAGATTACCTCCCAAATCTAACCCTAATCATGTATTAACTACGATGTTTAAGGCATACATCAAACAAAACAAGCCCGGTAACTCTAGATTTCTTCCGATGATCTTCCGACAGACTTTCGACGATCTCTCGATAATCACCTAACGGATTCTCGGTAAGCTCCTGGACTTCACGAAGATCTTCTTAGCGAGTTCTGATGAGTTTCTATTTGGTTAATTTTGACAGTATTTCTGATGAACCTCCGAACTTCCGATGAACTCTTGAACTCCTAACGAAATCTCGATCTTGATTCTGGTACTTCGTTTTGCTTTATGCCTTAATCGCTATCATGATTAATCTTACACACTTTTCTCAATATGTAAATTGGATCAAATAATTTACATGAAGTGAAATAATAGCCGACAACTTGCTTCATAAATTTACTGTCCCGATGCACCTACCATTCGCCAGCATCTGCGTAAGCTCCAGCGAGGTTCAAGGAGCAGACACGGACCGCTCAAACGACAAACATACGAGTGACAGTGGTGAACAACTGCGAGTCCGTCCATTGTTATAGGCCCATGTCGAGGAAGCGCGACGGTCGTCTTCGTGGCCATGCGCGAGTAAATCGCCAGTGACCCACTAATCATGCCGACGACGACAAATAGTGTTTTGTGGCCGTCTGGTGCTTCATACGAACTTCTACCTCCAGAATCCTACTTCGCTCTGAGCCGAGCTCAGCAGGCCATGGATGGCGAAGGCATGCACGTGTTGGGGGTGCTGAGACATGGAGGCAACAAGCTGTTGCATTCACCACGTGATTTCTTTTTCAGGTGGACCAGCAGTTAATAGGGATGGATGGCTGAGAGACAAATGGAGCCGGAGTCTGAGCCTCCAGACCCTTTCCCTCCTCCGAAGCCTTCCTCCCGTGCACCGCGACCTCCTCCCTCCCCCGTTGATGGAACTCTCTCCCAGCCTCCCACCCACACCGCTGTCTCCAGCACCTCATCCGCGGCCCCTATGCCTCCCCCGGGACTCTCTGATCATGAGGCCTCCCCTTGTGGTCCGCCTCCTATCTGAGCAACTCTGCAAAACCCTCTGCTCCCACTTCGTGGGCGGGGCTCTTCCGAGGTGCTCATGGGCGTGGGAGCGTGGAGAATTGGCATTGCCCTTGAAGTTAAATAGCTGAAAATACACTCTCGATCGTCTTTAAATATAGAACTCGACTCGACGGAGCTCATCCCCGTCTTACTTTATTTTCAAAGTTAAAGCATCTTTTCGAAATCGATGTAGATCTTTCGAACCGATATGTTTTATTTGCTGTACTAATTTACCCCCTTCGTCAACTCGTTCCTAACAGTACTTGACCACATAAACAGAGTCATATTTTATCACATGGATTTGATCCTACATAATCGTATGAGTTGCGTCGTATATGATCATATGGGTCGGTCATGCCTGACCACATGAGCTGGATCATAAATTACCACATGGGATGAGTTATGTGTAACCACATTGGTTGGATCATACCTAGCCAAAAGAGCTGAGTTGATCCTGTCTAGTAAATCAACTTGACTCAAGTTTAGACTCTTCTTATTAAATTAAATTTTAATATTTTAAATTATTAAAGAGGAATTCAAATTCATGAATTAAAGAAATTAAATTCATGATCTTAAATTTAAAACTAATTACATAATAAAAATTCACACATAATTCTTGAAACATAGATATATTTAGTTAAATAAATTAAAATTATTATGTTAATCTAAAAATAAAATTTAATAATTAAATCAATCTTGAATTTACTAAAATTTAAGAGATCATTATAGTCAAATAATCATCTAAAATCAATTATCATTATTTATTAATCATAAAATTTTAATAATTAATGAAAAAATTGACTATGATTTTAATAATTAAATCCCCTTACGGCGCTGCCTTGCAAGCTTAAGATTGATTTTAATAATTAAAACAATCTTGACTTGTTTCATTAATGTCCCGATGAGACAGCTTACTTCCAGATGTTATTGAGTCGGGAGAGTATCACCAATTCTGTTGTTATGATCCAGTCTTCACTGTTCTCTTATTCTTCTAACTCGCCTCCTGCACCTGCATCGTTGGACGTGGCATCCATATCTGCAGATCGTATACTGTTGCTTGATGCTTTTTTCAGTGTAGCTGTTTTTCATGGTATGACCATTGCTCAGTGGCTACCAGAATCAACCAGAGCATCAGGTAACTCTATGGTATAATTTTCTACTCGGATAGATAACTCAAAAGTTATAACTCAAAATTATAGTGTATTGTGTTGTTCCTTATGGCTTACCATGCCAAGTCAGCTTTAGTTCCATGTCTTTCTCTCTCTCTCTCTCTCTCTCTCTTTTCTTATTTTCAACCATTTTTTTAGAATTTTGATCTGTGTATCAATATATAACTCTATGTTTTCAGATCCCCATGTGTAATAATAACTTATAATAAACTTCATGCTTGATGAAGGGGCTTTTTTTAGCTCAACTGCAGTAAAGAAAAAATGTACTGCATCATATGAGCATTGTATAACCTGCCCCTTTCCAAAGAAATATCCATCACCTGCTCACTGCCAGTGAAAGATTCTCTAACAACTTCATTTCTGCTTACAAGGTCCATACATCTCATTTGAACTTTGTGTCTATGTCAGTGCTGCTGCCATCTGAAACACTGTCCCATTGGATCATCCATCCTTGGATTGTCTTAGTCGACAGCTTGGAATAGGACTCGTTATTCATATTATGATCTATCTGTCTCTGAGCATGTTTGCAACTATTTTTAAGTCTAATTGCTAATTTTCTGTTCTATACACCCCACATCTATATCATGCAGCCTCCTGAGTGACTGAAGCTTAAACTATTTGTAACTGTTAATAGCTTTAAGCTATATCTGAAATATACTGCAGTCAACATCTTGATCTGGTTCCACATTTCCATAATCATTTTTGTTTCACCAAGAACTCTGTTCTACCTTTGAAAATATAGATTCCTAAAGAAGTCGTAATGGTTGTCCACTCTGCTTGGACTGAAACGTGTTCATTTTTAACTATAATACATTATCCCAGATCACACTACTGTAGTGGTTATGTTTGCGCTACTCAAATTCAATCAAAAACCAAGTGTTTGAAATTTCCATTCATGTTGAAAAGTGAATGCTTAGTGAAACTACTAAGTGTGGTATACAAGGTTCCATTTGCACCCAAAAATGAAAAACTAGGACAAACCTTAACATAGTGGAGCTTTTGCAAGTGTGAATATATCAGTAAATATCTCTTTCTTTGAAATGGACATTTTCACAGCAAAGCAGGAATTTACTTTCTGTTTCAATTTTGTTGTCCTCAGGCCTTCTTCACTCAGCTATTACAAGCACCTCAGGATGATGTTCAAACGATCATCAGAGATCGGTTCCCCGTTCCCAGATTCTTTGCTTGATATCGGTAGACCATAATTACCGGCACCTCAAGTGAAGGAACTGCTGCATGATTTCTTCGGTGCAAAAAGGTCACTCAAAATCAAAGCACCTTTACAGAAAGAAACATAAACTAGTAGCCCGAGGTGTTACATAACCAGATAATATGCAACAAAATGTAGAATATCCCGGGATGAAGATGGTGTTCAGTGTTATCAAGTGTATGCACCGTGATTGACGAGTAACTTTTGCTTGTTTCTTCTACAGGCAAGATTCTTATTGGCGAAGTTGAACCCATCAGCCCATGAAGTTGTTCCTGGGGGTGATGGCATGTTCAACTTTCTAGTGAGCATCTTCAGATGTTGGCTGTTCAGTGATGAGAACATGTTGCAACCTTTTCTCCCCCCTTTTGTTCCCATGTGTCGTGCCTTATTTGGGTTTGGAAGTAAGATCATTATGTGCATAATTTTAACTCTCTCTTCCTCCCAATCATATTCTATAATTCCATCAAGTCATTTTTTGATATTTGACCAATAAAGCTCAACATATTCAATTTCTTACTTATATTCAGCAACCTCCTTCTAGAATATATGAACAACATTCCATGGCTGGCTTCCTTGTGGAACTAAATTGAGGTGGTGATGGAGCCTTTTTTTTTTCCCCCGTTAAATCTTGTTGGCTTTTAACATATTGTTAAGATCAGGCTAACCAAGAGTAGGCATCATTTGTCAGATATCAAATTCACTGTTATATTTATGAACAGAATATAATATGTATGAAAAGTGTATACAGAGAAGCAGGCAATGTGCCTCTTAGTTTTGTGGAATTCTCGAAGCAATTTGTCCAATACAGTGACAATGTATCACTTTTATCTGATATGTTCTGTGATCACTATTTTATGCCAAACATTAACACTGAAAGGCTAAGAAGCTGTCATTCATACTTCTAGTCATCAGTTTTAACTGCTGCAACAGCTTATTGAGCATTGTCTCAAGCTAAACATTGACAGTGACAAGTTTTAGAAGCTGTTATACTTGCAGTCACCAGCTGAACTTCTGCAACAGCTCATTGCTGCTCATTTAGCAGACTTGGAAATTTGTGTTGAAGCTGTGGAAAACTTGGGGCATTCAAACGTCTAAATAGAACTGAATTAGAAAATGCGGGGAAAGGAATTATTAGATCCATTCCAAATGGGAATGGGTAGGGTTATTAACATATTACCATGGTAATCACTTATTTGCAAGCTTCGTGTTAGGTTAATAGTTTGTCTTCCATCTATGGAAAACTCACTTCGTACTATCTATCTCTAGAAATAATTTAGTAGTAGATTCCGTGGGAATTAGAGGATCTTATTTATCAAATAGTATAGTTTGTCAGATCATCTAAAGACTGTGAGATGAAATCTATCTCAAGTCTTGTCTTCATGTAGCTGTGACGTGAAGGATGGATGCCGGATTCATGACGACGTGGAGATAGCCGTACGGTTTGAGGATGACTCGGATTCAAACAGAGTAGAGGGATTTGCCACAGCCTCAAGTTTCTCAATTGGCAGAACGGGCGAAGAACAGCAGCATTTCTTTGTTCACGAGTTTCCCGCATCGCCAATTATTTGCCGCCGAAGTAAGTTTTAATAGGTTTGCCCAAGTAATCATATAAAGTACTCAACATAAAGGAACTCGAATTCCTCATGATTTCATTCATTACTCGTTTCAAACTTTTTTCCCTCAACAATCAAATTATATATATATATATATATATATATATATATATATATATATATATATATATATATATATATATATATATATATATATATATATCAAAAAAAAAAATAAAATAAAAAATAAAAATATAAAAATATGTTTATCTTTTTTATTATATTTTTATTTAAAATA